TTCTTTTTTTTTTTTTAATTTTTTTTCAACGTTTATTTATTTTTGGGACAGAGAGAGACAGAGCATGAACGGGGGAGGGGCAGAGAGAGAGGGAGACACAGAATCGGAAACAGGCTCCAGGCTCCGAGCCATCAGCCCAGAGCCTGACGCGGGGCTCGAACTCACGGACCGCGATATCGTGACCTGGCTGAAGTCGGACGCCTAACCGACTGCGCCACCCAGGCGCCCCTAGCTTTGTGTTTTCTTAATAAGCTTCCACTGTCATCACTTCAGAGTAGGACCTCCTCCTTGTCTTCCCCAAGACACCAATCTTTGCTCCAAAGATCCCCTTGGCACCGGCGCTTCACCTCTATGCTCCAAGGTACACTGGGTGTGTCATGTTGCAAGATGGTGCCATTGCAGCTCAGAATGCAGGCTGCGGACTTGGACACCTGGAGCAGGATCCAGCCAGCTCCACTCTTCTCCAGCTGCATGACCTTGGGCAACAACCTCCTCTGGGTGTGTGATTTGCCCCAACCATAAAATGAAAACTGTCAGAGTCCCTGCTTCTTAAGCCCATTGGGAGGGTGAACTGAGATAATGCACATGTCTTGAAAACTAAATGTTCAAAAACTATTAGTCATTAAAGGAAGTTGAATCATCTTAGAACTTCAGCTGGTCACTACAGCTCTAAACCAGAACTAACCAAAGGAACTTTCTTTGATTACGGACATGTTCTACTGTGTTCTTTCCAAAATGGAAGCCACCAGCCATGTGTGCTTATTGAGCCCTTGAAATGTGGCTAGTGAGACTGAGGAACCAACTTTTTAACTGCATTTGATTTTAATTAATTTCAACTTAAATCTAAATACCACATGTGGCTAAGGGCTACCATATTGTACAATGTAGCTTCTAGATGAATCACAGGGAGTTGTCAATGACTCTACCTTAGCTTCATTTTTCCCCCTAACTGTTGGGCTCTAGATTCCTTCCTCTTCTGTCACATTTTTTAAAATTTTTTTAACATTTATTTAGTATTCAGAAACAAGAGAGACAGCATGAGCATGGGAGGGGCAGAGAGAAGGGGAGACACAGAATCCGAAGCAGGCTCCAGGCTCTGAGCTACCAGCACAGAGCCCGACACAGGGCTTGAACTCACAAACTGCGAGATAATGACCCGAGCTGAAGTCAGACGCTTAACCAACTGAGCCACCCAAGCGCCCCCTTCTGTCACATTTTTTAACTTTGAAGCAGAGACCACCATGCAAATAAATTCTGTCCTCCCAAGAAAATAAGATTCATAACACTACATGTCTAATACTGATTTAAGTGCTTTACATTTATTAATTTATAACAGCTCTTAGGTGGGTGCTACAATTATGCCCACTTAACAGATGAGTAAACTGTTAAACAGAGCAGTGCCATAACTTCTCAAAGTCACAAAGCTTGCAAAAGGCAAAGCTGAGATTTGAATTCACTCAGGGTTCAGCAACTCTTAACTCTTAACCATAACAGAATATTATTTCCTTGGCCAAAACATTTAGCCATGGATCTGATAGTGAATCTTACTGCTAGGGAGATCTGGGTAGTCTTCATTAATGCACTATTCAACTTGCTATGATATTTGTTCATTGGCATGAGGGTTCTGGTAGCATTCTTTCCTGCAGTTTTTCTTTTTTTTTTTTTTTTAATTTTTTTTTTCAACGTTTATTTATTTTTGGGACAGAGAGAGACAGAGCATGAACGGGGGAGGGGCAGAGAGAGAGGGAGACACAGAATCGGAAACAGGCTCCAGGCTCTGAGCCATCAGCCCAGAGCCTGACGCGGGGCTCGAACTCACGGACCGCGAGATCGTGACCTGGCTGAAGTCGGACGCTTAACCGACTGCGCCACCCAGGCGCCCCTCCTGCAGTTTTTCTTATTCACAGTTCTTGTCTCATTGCCATTTATTTTCAGGACTTTGTTTCCTTCTGCTCAACTCATAATCAGAGTGTTCTTCCTCTTTGCTGAATTCATAAGTGGTTATGCAGAAAAAGGATCTGGTTCAGGGCCAGGCGACTGAAAACACGCCATTCATTTAGCAAGTGAAAGTCATGTTGGTGCATCTCTCATTCTACCACTGATATCTCCTGCCATGGGACAGAGCCATTGCCCAGCAGCCTGAAGAGATAGCAGGAAAACCACTGCATTCAAGGCAGACCTGTGGCCCCAGGTCAGCTCCCCAGTAACAGGATTCCAACTGGCCCTAAATGTCATTCAGGAGCCCATATGTTTTGCCAGGCAGGGCTATGGGGGGGCGGCCTGGCCTGTATCCATCACTGGGAAAATCCATCGTTCTCCTGAGTCTCTTCCAGGCAGGCTTTGTGGAGATTGATGCATTCACCTTTAATAGGACTAAAATGTTTTCCTTCCATGACACTAATGCTGCCAGAGTTCATCAAGATACACAAGCATTGACATGCCTTACACATGATGCCTAAAAGATGGGATTCCTGGCCACCTTTGCGTCCATTAGTCATGGTCCATGAGCATATCCACACTCCAGCAGGACTTCACTAATGGTCAGGGTATGAACAGAGAAGCTCCATTTAGAGCAAGCTCATATTTTAAATGAACATACCTGATAACTGAACATGATTAATGGCTGAGGTGGTTCACCATGTTCAGAAGTCCTAATCCTCAGAGAAAGGCAGACAGCCATGACTGTAAGATCCAAGAAAACCATAAAAACCTAGGGGCACGTTTCACCTCTCTATGGAGGAGCTATAGAGTGTATTAAGGAGTGAAATGGCAGAGGACGATCCAAGTGAGATCCCCATGGCTTCCAAGAGTCTGTATCAGGACCATGGTAGGCTATTACCAGGAGGGGATTCAGAGAGACGGTGGGGAGTTTAGCTATGGTTTTCAATGTAAGCCAAGTCTCCTAGACAATAGCTTCCAAACTTGGAAGAGCTGTGAGCAAGATGGTGCCAGGTACTTCTGCCTAGAGTGTTAATAACAGAATAATTCATCCCAATATTGGCCCAAACCATGTTTTTATAATGCATCATAAAGGCTCTAAGAATAATAATCTGACCTCCAAAAGGGTGTGGGATGGGGAGAAAATAGAATCTTGGCCGTCTGGCTCCTTCTGTTCAGTGACTCCTCTGGAGCACAGAAAAGCAATGAAAACGCTCAGACTTCTGAATTTCACATACATACAGTCCATCTCTTTCCACCCAGTCACTCCCTAGAAGGAGGAACTAACTCCTTTCCCTAAACCACACACACTTCCCACCAAAGCACAACCATGATAAAATGTTCAAGGGCCTTCCTAAAACATGTGCACCTTGTGACATTCACTCTGTCACCTAAAGGAAGAAATAAAACAAAATACAAAACCAAACTGAAACTTCTGCTCTAATGATTTGTTCTGAAGAGTTTGGTGGGATCTGTACAAGGATTTTTCCCATAGTAAGTACCAACTCTTGTTTTAAAAAAGCAACTTAAGAATAATATCCACATTGATGCAAAACTACACTAAGGGAGAATAATGAACCTAATAAAACCAGCGATTTTCCAATTGCTATTGCTACTGGAAACACTGATTATGCTAATTAAAGGGTAGAATAGTAAATACCCACTCTTTTGCATCCAATTAAGTGCTCAGATTATTTCTCAGAAGTATTTGTTGAAAATAGCACTTTTGATTATCATGGGTCCCAAATAAACAGAGTCGTGTGTGTGTGTGTTTGTATGTGTGTGTGTGTGTGTACACACTCAAATACACATTTATCTCCGGAGCTCTTTTCATGGAGTAGTGTAACTCTTAAAATTCCTATGGGACCAAGTAAAAAAAAAATCATACAGCTTGGGATATCTTTAAAGAAAGTGTATGTTGAGAACACAGCACAAGAAAACAATTTCAAGTTGGGAACATGTGAGATTTAACACACAAACATCAAGAACACAAATGGATAGGCAAGGCTGCCTAAGTCCCTCATAAAGTCAATGTCAGCTTATTCTAGATAATAAAATAGCCAAACTATGTTGTACAAAACGTTGAAAGTTTTATCCTTCCAGCCAATTCCATACTTCAGAGCAAAGTCAATTTATATGTAAGTTAAACAAAGTACCATCGCTAAAAACTGAGAATTATGAGTAATGCCAATCAGAAATGCAATAAATAAATATTAGAGGATTTGCAAGTTAAAGCAACCATATAAATTCTATTATCAGAAATGAAAATGTGTTGCCTGAAGAGATTACAAATAAGACGCTAGAACCCAAAAAAGGAAGAGCTTCTGTAACTATTTCCATAAGTTAATCAGGAGTGAGACTAGGATGGGTTTTGCACCCACTAAAGGAGATGCAATTCATACATTCATTCAACATGCGTTTAACCAACAATTACCACCTACACTGAACCAGGCCTATTCTAGGTCCCAGGAAAAGAGTGGTCAACAAAATCAACATGGCCCCTGATCTCCTGGAACTCCCATTCTAAGGGAGGGAAATAGATAGTAAACAAGTCAACAAAGTAAGATAATTTCAGATTGAGTAAAGTTTTATAGAAAATAAAACTAAATCACATAATAGAAAATGAATGCTGGAGGGCAGAGGGCACAATATTTCACCTATAACTATGGATAGCAGAGCTTCTGGAGCCTTGTGAAGAATTTAGTATTAAGAATTCTGCCTTTTTTTTTTTTTTTTAAGTAGGCTGCACACCCAGCATGGAGGGAGTCCAATGCAGGCCTTGATCTTATGACCCTGAGATCAAGACCTGAGCTGAGATCAAGAGTCAGACACTTAACTAAGCCACCCAGGCACACCTTAAGACTTCTGTCTTACTTCAAATTTCCTAAAAGTAGAGCTTGAGGCAGGGGTTTAGTGCATGTGAGGCATTGAGGGAGAGTTCTCAGGAGATAGGAGTAAGGGAAACTGACAGGGCAGGGTTTGAAAGATAAATGGTCCCCAAAGTTGGATACCAGCTTCAGTATGATCCCACAGGGAGCTCTGGCGCATGAATTACACCCCATGTTATCCCAGCCTGAAGCAAGTAAGCTGGTCTTTTGTCCTCCCATTACTCAATTCCTGGCCATAGGCAGCTGGGAGTGAAGGACCAGTATGGAACAACTTTCCAGGTGAGGCAAGATTTGGCCACTTGGCTAAAGGTAATTTTCCAGAACATGGAGCAGCTGAAGTGAATGTGAGTTTACTGGCCCAGTAAGGGGATCTGGGTAGAAAAACAACAGCATCTCCTACAACTTCCAAATTGCTTTCTTGTTTCTCTCTCTTAAACAGTATATAGGAAGTTTTCATTACTCTCTATTTATACTCTTCTGTTCATTTGTTAATCAAACAGCCACAACCCAGGTGCCATTATCCCCAAAGTCTTCCTGGTCATTTATTCTCCATACCAAATCAACATAGTTACACCAATCTTGGTTCTACTAAAACCAATAAATCTTTTGTGTTTTTCAGAACATTCAAACCTTGGGTGACACAGCAAGTGCCACAATACAGCCTTCAAGTTAATAGCTTTGCTGAGGCAAAGGAAAATACTTGCTCCCCAAATACACAAGTCATTCATTCATTGAACCAAAAATCTATTGAGCCCCTACTATGTGCCATGTCCTGGCTGAGTAGATGCTTTCCAACAACAGGACTTATTTAGTGAGATGTGTTCATCTTGTTGTGAACTCATTAAAGAGCATATATAATTTTTTTTTCCTAACAATTTTCCCAAACTTTGTCAACAGCCACCTTTCTACTGGGGAGATTACTTAAGAATATTTCATAACTTTGCAATCACATGTGTTGTTAAAACAATATATTGAGTTATATCTGGTTCAAAGCTTTCCTCAGCCCTTACTTCTCCTCCCCAGAAGTCCCAAGATCAAATCTCGTTGGCTCTGACTGGGACATGGGCCCACGTCTGAACCAACTGCTGTGGCCAATGGATGTAGTGCCCTCTAATTGGCCAGGCCACAGCCACATCCCACTTCTGGAGCCTGATGTGGAACCAATACATCCCAAACCAGCCATGAAGCAAGGGCAGAGAGGAGAGCCTCTAGGGGAAGTCAGCGCTCTCTGAACCAGCAGAAGGATATTGGGTGGTAGGCAGGCAAACTGTCCACTATACAATTCAGCAAAGGCTTTATGGTGATTTTCTATACTTGGAGGCAAAGAAAAGACTACCTAGCACATGCCAAAACACAATACCCAACACTTTACCTTAAAGTTATCTGGCTTAATCCTCACAAAAATACCATCAACTTTTTGGCATTTTACATATAGAAACCCTGAAGCATAAGAGGTTAAAGAACACACTCACCATCAGCAACTTTTTCCTCCATTCCAAGGGACTTTTTTTTTCATTTTGCCATCTCTAAAGTTGGAGTGCATCTTAAAATCAGTGGAGTGTCATGGTTTAACTGGCAGCATTTTTCTTCCAGTAGCACATAAAATAATAACATGTCTTGCAACTAACAGTGTTTTAGATTTGATGAGATCCTGGTGAAGCCAGGATGAATGAAATCCAACCCCATCTGACTCCAAAGCTCACATGTTCTCTATGCCTCTGGACTAGGGCAGAGATGTCAACAAGTCAGGCTTTGCTTATTTTATAAAAGATATAAGATACAGCCCTGATAGAATTTTCTTCTTGTACTTGCAGGGGAGGAAGACAGCATCATTCCACTATCCTGGGGGAGGTGCAAAGTACAAAGGGGAGGCTGTCCAGCGGTCCCTGGTGGAGTCTCACACTCACCCAGACAGCAATGAGACAGAGTGGAGGGAGAACATAGATATTGTCATGAACTGGTTCACCAAGGAAGACTTTGATTTTGTGACTCTGTACTATGGAGAGCCAGATAACGTGGGACACAAATTTGGGCCTGAGACGGAGAACAGAAGGGTGATGATTCAGCAAATTGACAGAACCATCGGGTACCTGGTGGAAGCCATTAAAAGGCACAGCTTGACCAAGCACCTCAATGTCATCATCACATCAGACCATGGCATGACCACAGTAAAAAAGAGCCCCAATGTCACTGAGATCCTCTTGACAAACTACATCAAGTTCAAGGACTTGGTCAAGTTTGATATCGTGGACTATGGTGGCTTTGGGATGATCCTGCCCAAACCAGGGAAAGAGGAAGCTGTTTACCAAGCACTGAAGAATGCACATCCTCACCTCAATGTGTACAAGAAGGAGGAATTCCCAGAACGCTTCCATTTTGCTAAACACAAGCGGGTGCTGCCAATTGTGATGTACGCTGACTCTGGTTATAACATCAATGGGGTGAGTCGATTCTAAAATGAATGAAGCCATCTTGGATCTGGGAGACAGCCTATAGAGAGAAACGATTCTGAAAAAAAATTAAAACATAAGTTGTAACCCACTGTTAGTTCTAAGTGTTCCCCACCATGTCTCACCCAACCAACCCTGTCCCATGTTACTGCTATGCAGTTATAATGACAAACATCCCCGACCAAAGCTCTGTCCAGCACTGTACTAAAAATTTAACATGAGTTGTTTCATTTTTGTCTTCCCATCAACCCAAAGATAGATACTCTTATTTCCCTTGTTTTATTTAATAATGAATAAGCCAAAGATAGAGAGAAGTGATTCAGGATTAGAAGTATAAGGTTAATGTTTGAATCCAAGCCTGTGTGCTTGCTTGATCATTATGCACAGATCACCAGTAGATTCACCAAAAATAACCATGTGCTGGTTCCCCTTTACACATATCAAGGAGAAGGAGGAGGAGAAGGGGAAGGAGAGGGACAGGGAGGTAGAGGGAGAGGGAGAAGGAGAGGGAGGGGGAGGGGAAGAAGGAGGGTGATGGGAAGGAGGAGGAGGAGGAGGAGGAGGAGGAGGAGGAGGAGGGGAGGGAGAGGAGAAGAAGGAGAAGCCCTGTTCATACACACACACACACACACACACACACACACACGCAAATTATATACAAATGGTCACAACAGCATTATTCATAAAAATCAAAAAGTGAAAACAAACCAATTGCCCATCAACTGATGAATGAATAAACAAAATATGATATAACCATACAATGGAATATTATGTTGCCATTAAAAGGAACAAGGTACTGATACATGCTACAACTTGAATGAACCTTGAGAACACTATATTTACTGAAAGAAAGTAGATACGAAAGACTTTGTATGATTCTATTTAAATGAAATGTTCAGCACAAGCAAATCTATAGAAACAGAACACAGATTGGTGATTGTCGGATGGGGAAGGGGGAGAGATGTTGGGAAGAAATGGGGAGTGACTCCTGAAGGGTACAGGGTTTCTTTTTGGGGTGATGAAAATTGATGGTGGTGATAGTTGCACACCTCTGTGAATAAAATTTAAAATCATTGAATTGTACACTTTAAATGGGTACATTATATGGTAATTATACAAATTATATCTCAAGAAAGCAGTTATGAAAAAATAAGCAAGCCTAAAGAAGAAAATACCAAAATCAATGCTAATTGTGAGACAGATTTAAGATGGTCTGGTTTTTGTTAACTATCAACCAATAATTCATGGCAGAACAAAATGTAAGTGATGTTTAAACACTGCATGACAGAAGACCATCCCAGAAATAGTTTGAAGAACACTTGTCCTAGGCTATGGACATGAGCCAAACATTATATTTGCAAACTGTTCAGAGTATAATAGGTATAGGAAAATTCATAAGGTTATTGTTTAGCGTTGGTGGAAATAGTCACAGTAAAATGCAACAATTACTTGATATTTTGCAATCCCTCACATGACCCAGAACACTGAGGATGCATGCCCAAAGCTAAGTTCTTGCCAAGGAGAAATTCCATAGCCACTGGCCTCTTTCTAAACCTGGTTCATGATGTAACAAGTTGAGAGTGATGTGAAGGAATTTAATGCAATAGTCACATTCCCAACATAACCAACCAGGTTTGAGGGAATAGGGAAACTTCTGAACTGACCATTAGAAAATCCTTTGGGTCTCAGTGCCTCTCACTGAGTACACTTCTCAGATCCCCATCCACCTGCCTGACTTAATGTGAAGTGGGTGTTACTCTTCTCTCTTCAGGATTAAGGAACTTGCAAAGCACAGGAGGCTATCACCAGAGGCACTATGTTTCAGCTTATTATTGTCAGTAGTACCTTCTTGCTGTGTCTAATGGGTATACTTTCTTTATTCTCTTTCTTAAAGATCTTTCATTCCTTGCTCTTCCCTTTGGCACTGCAGAGCAGTGTCCTTCCTTGTCATTTAAATTTTCAAAGGTTTCATGGATCTGACAAGCATGACAATAACTAAGGGACAGTTTTCTTTCAGGGGATTGGAGTCTAAAATGGCTTTTTTATTATTATTATTTTTCAGCAACTAATAATATATTTCAACAAAGGAGATCATGGCTTTGATAATGTCTACATGGACATGAAGACCATATTCAGAGCTTTTGGGCCAGATTTCAAAAAGAATCACCTAGCTGAGCCTTTTGACAGCATCCACATCTACCCACTCATGTGTAAGCTCCTGGGGGTTACCCCTGAACCCCATAACGGCTCCCTGGCAGTCACCCAGGAAATGCTTGTGCAACACGAGCACAATGAGCAGCAGCAGCCAGGTGAGATACAAGAGCAACCACCAGAAAACTGGCAGTCTGATCTATTCTGTCCTGAGATACAAAAGAATGAAAAAGAGGTTGGGCGGGGGAGTGAGGGGGCCACTGGTAGAATCGAGCAGAATAATCCTGTTTGTCCAACAGCTTCAGCATCTGCAGGGCAAGATAGCAGCAGCTCTTAAACAGGTAGCAAAGGAAACAGGGAATCCCTCCACGTGCTGGTGACATTTCATACAGTGCCTCTGGGGCCAAAGGAAGGCTCTCCGTAGACAGTCAAGCAATAATCCTTCTGATCCTTAGAAATCACATGCAATCTGCCCCCCTGATGTCCCTTGTAGTACAGAAAAGCAGTCTTCCTTCAGCAACTCAGCCTTTGCTAGTGCCTGGAAGAAAGCTGCTCACAGTGAAGGAAACCTTACCATTCCACTCATTGCTGAAAAAAGAAGGAAGGAGGAGTTTCTGTAAATGGGGTTGCTAATTCTTAAGACTTCAAAACCTTAAACCTGGGTGATATAAAGGAAGAATGGTATAGTCTCTAAGAATGCAGTTGTTTGCAACCAGTGGCCAGCTTTTCTTCAGCCAGGAGAGACTTAGATGCTGTTCAGTGATTTATCATACTTAAAGCAACTACACTCAATCAAAACAGAGTATAAAGGACACGCTTTTCCCTTCTTCTAAGCCACTGCACACGATTTTCTTGTGAACTTACAGGATGCAGGCCATTTTGTAGGAAACTACTTAAATGAATGACCAACTCTGGAAATTATTGGGATTTTTTTTTTTAAGTTTTAGAGTTTTGCTATAACTATTTGGCCCCTACCCCGTCTCATAGCCCATTGGGAACCTGGGGTAAGGTGTCTGACTGCTGTCAGTTATTGATTAGCAAGATGTCCCACCAACTGATTTTCAGCAAATTGGCTTTTAGCAAATTGGTCACTTGGCAAAGTGGTCATTAGGCAAATGGGTCATTTGGCGAATAGGTCATTTAGTAAATCGCCTTTCAACGACTTGCCCTATGAGGTTTCTCTACAGTGAACACTTTCTTGGGTTAAATGTACATTTCATTTCCATAATTAATATTCACCAGAGCTTGGATGAAAAACTTCCCGAAGACCCAGGAGCAGCGAGAACAGCCTCTTAATAATCAGACAATTAAAAAACCATCTTATGTTTTATCAGGAGCAGAGACACAGAAGACATTCCCTCTCCAGAAGATAGCGTTTGGCCTCGGGATTGTGACAGGAGTTCTTGCCGTTCTGTGTGTTGCTAGTGTGATATACACAGTCATTCGTCGGAAAAAGAAGTGAGTATTCTTTGGGTTTCCCAGGGTTTATCAGTGTACATTATAATAATCCACTTCAACCATTTCCTGCACACCAGAGGGGATCCAGCACTTTGAGAACCCAGCAACCAGAGCCAGGTTCATGACTTGTAAAGTGAGCAGTCACTCAAGGCCCAGGGCTCAAAAGAGCCCTCAACTTGGTTTAATAATCTACTAGTCTGTCACCATTTCAGAATTCTTGATTTTTTATTTATTTTATTTGAGAGAGAGGGAGAGAGATAGACAGAGAGTCCCAAGCAGGCTCCATGCTCAGCACAGAGCCCAATTCAGGGCTCATTCTCACAATCCTGGGATCATGACCTGAGCCAGAATCAAAAGTCAGAAGCTCAACCTACTAAACCACCCAGGCACCCCAGAATTCTTGATTTTTTTTTAACAAAGACCCTGCATTTTCATTTTGTACTGGGCCTCCAAAATTAAATACCAGTTGCATTAGTTTTCCACAGCTGCCATAAAAAAAGTACAACAACGTACCTGGCTTAAAAGAACAGGTACTTATTGTCTCACAGAACTGGAGGGGAAAGTCCAAAATCAAGATGTTATAACGTCAAAGCTGCCTCCGAAATTTGTATGGGAGAATCCTTCCTTGCCTCTCTAGCTTCTGGTAGTTGCTGGCAATCATTCGTATTCCTTGGTTTATAGATGCATCGTTCCAGTCTCTGCCTCCATCATCACATGGCCATCTTCGCAGTGTGTCTCTGCCTTTACATGGTGTTCTCTTCTCTGGTGTCCATGACACCACTCATGGGATTTAGGGCCCTCTGTACTCCAGGATTACCTCACCTTAATTATATCTGCAAAGAGTCTATTTCCAAATAAGGTCACCAATACCATAAGGTCCTAAGTACCAGGGGTCAGGACTTCCAACATATTCTCGGAGGGACACAATCCAACCCATAACACTGGTTCTGCCAGTGTTACAGAGCCTTGGTGCACCTCTTTCTATATATCAATAGTTATATCATTAGACTGATCCTCCCATATTCCTTATTATACCCAACCCTGACCATTCTTCTGCTTTAACATAGCTCCTGTCTCAATAGAATGGAGGCCTCCTGAACACTATAAACAGCCTAAGGGAAGTCAGAACTTTACTTAACCTTAACTCCATTACAAAGCCCACGTTTAATGTAATTTATATTTGAACTATAAAAATTTCCTATAAGTTGAAACATGACCTATAAAGGTCTCTATGCCCTGAAGCAACATTTTAAAAAGAAATCAATTGGTCCTTTTCTACAGAAACCATCAGCTATAGGAGAGCTAAAGGAAAACTTCAATGTACTGATTGAACTGCCATGCCCACAGCATAATTTCTAAAAGGCAACTATTCTGTACGGTTAAAATATATTAGATGGTTGTTGTTGTTGACGTTGTTGCTGTTGTTGTTAAAAACCTCCAACCCAGAAGTTGAATCTTTAATGTAGCGTGGGCACATACACATCCCCACTCGCCACTGGCAGGACCATGGGATGGGTCCTAATGCTTCTCTCCATATCAACACTCCCCAGAAGTTTTACTTTTTGTGGTACCTAATCTTCATTTACACCTGAACACACACCTGTGAGGCCCCTGGGATGTTAGCAATCCCTTCACTGTCTTAATTCTTCCAGATTCAGATCTGAGATATGTGGCCTTATGAACTCTGTCCCTCCCTAGAGCCCACACACACCAAAATAAAGGTTTCTTCTGTGTGCAAGTCAGTGTCATAGACCACTCGGGGTCCTTTCCCAAACTACATCCCATCTGGCATTAGGAAAGGCTAAAACAGCCTAGATTTATTAATATCTTAGTATAACGTCATACAGTATTACTTATTATGGCACTGACTGTACATGCCCTTTTGCTCCTCAGAAGAAACGCAATTAATAGCTACTTTGTGTGTTAACAAAATAAGCCTAGTATTTATAAGTTTGACCCTTTCCCATTGGTTTTCATTGTCTACTGCAGGCAGAGAGCTGATCAAATGAGCAAAAGTGGACCAATCGGCCTGGCCCAGTTCTGAAGCATCACTCCCTTAAGACCAAGCCTTGGCCTTGGTTAAGGGTCATCATATCTCAGATGATTCTACCTCAGGATACCGTGAGGAAGAGGATTTCTGCAACATCAGACCCAGAAACCATTAATTCCGTGTAAAAACACATCAATAATCACGGCCCACCCTCTTGATTTAAATCAACAGTGTGGAGAGAATAAGACAAACCGTTCCTGTGTCAGATCCTGTGCTCACTTGGTACTGGTGGAAGAACAGATATGAGAATAAATGCATTCCATTAGAATTAATTCTTCTCTCTTGTTCTCTTAGCTGAGCAGGGCTCAGTGTTTCTCATCTGAAAGGGGTAATAAGATTTAATCTGTCCCCTCATCTACCTTCTGCAAGTATATTTAGCAAATTAGCTCTCAAGACTCTTCCAAATGGAGTTTTATGAGAGATGTGCTAAAGTAAATGTGTTAGACTTTGAACACAGTTCAAACTCCAGAGGCAGCACCGGTGGGTTGCTGCCTATCCTGCCTCTCACTCAAGACATAATAACGTCTAATGGAAATAATAATTTTTTTTTCTTTTCTTCCCCCTCCTCAACCACCCCCAGGAACTTTCTTACTCTTCAGATTCCTTTCCCTACAAAGTCAAAACTCCTGCTGTAAGTCCTCCTAGTTCCTGGAGCTCGCCTGCACGCTTGCTTCCCCCTGAGCCCCTGAAGGGCAGGGACCACACCTGGGTTTCCCTCACCGGGCACACAGTAGGTGCTTAATAAGTGGTGAAAACAAGGCTGGTTGGATTAGGGACGGACCGAGGCCGGGGGAGTGGGGGTTGTGGCCTGGTATTAAAAGAGGTCATGGAAAGGACGTGACCGCAGGCTGACCTCGCCAAGCTCCTCGCCCCTTCCCCGCCCTGAATCCACCTCAGCGCACGGGTGGGGCTTCCACCCGGGAGGCGGTTCGGGGTCACCACCCCAGAGCACCGCGCTGTGGAGAGGACGCAGACCACAAAGGGGACTAAACCCCGCCACGGCCTCCATGCGAACGTTTAAGATTCTGACACAGGGGCGCAGCTCATCTTGCAGCGCCCAGTAGGTAAGGCCTGAGTGTCTAAGTTTCCTCGCCCATTGACTGCGCCACCTACCCTACCCGGAGCGGCGAACTCGCACCTCGACCCGAAGGGGCGGAAAAGGCCTGAGGCTCCTAACCCCGGTCTGGGGACGCGGTCCTGAAACGTGAGGGCCGTCAGGCTCACTCCCTCCCAGCTGCGCAACAGGGAGGGAGCTACGCGTCCGTCAAAAAGTGCCTCGTGAAGACGCGGGAACAGCGAGAATGATTACCTGACCCTTCGCCTGACTGGACGCTACCTACCACAAAGCCGTCGCCTCCCGCCTTGCCCTCACTTGGCGCCAAAGCCCTGACTCCGCCTCTCAAGCCCCAGGCCACCCCCCCCCCCATCCGACCCTGGCCCCGCCTCCCACGCGCCCAGTGGCGCCTGGCCCGCCCCCGGCCCGGCCCCGCCCCAGCCCCGCCCCAAGTCCTCTGGGCCCCGCCCCACTGCCGCTCCGTCTCCCGGGCGACGCCGCGGCCCCGCCCCGCCCCGCCATGGCGCCGGAGGAGAGCACGGAGGCCGCACGCCTGCTGCCAAGTTTCGAGCGCCGCTTCCTGGCGGCGCGCGCGCTGCGCTCCTTCCCCTGGCAGGTGGGCGGTGGGGCGCGCGAAGGGCGGGCGGGGGGCGGCTGGGCAGGGTGGGGGCGGGGCGGGTTCCGGCGCCCACCTCCTTCTCTCCCCCCACGTGATGTTCTCGGCTCTCTCTCGTGTGCAGGGGCGGTACGTCTGGTCCCCGTCCCTGGGGCTTAGCTGGGGGCCACGCGGTCTGGCGGCGGGGAGCAGAAAGAATACCTGCGCGCGCTGGGAAGTCCCAGCCTGCCGTCTGCTCCCTCCACCCCTGGCCCTTCCCGCCCTCAAGTGCCTTTGCCGACTGAGTCCACGAATTTAAGGAATGCGGGGTTTCTTCCCAACTCCCTTTGTCACTTGGGGGTTAGGGTCAGGGACAATTCACGAAAAATTCTATTACTTTGTTTAGTCAGTTGTCATCCTGGCCATTGAGTAACAGTTGCTGCTTCCCATTTAAACAGTCAACGTCCGCAAGACCGCGGGAGACCACGTTGCAATGAGCGCAGTGACCAAGTCACAGACACCACACCTCCCCTCCCCCGCCAGGCCTCGGTGTTCTCATCTGTACCATGAGCATTGTACAAAATCCCCTCAGAAGCAGTTTAAGCCTCTTAGGCCTGTGATGGAAGAGACAGGGAAGTACAAAACAGGCCAGAAGAGAGACGAAAGAAGTCTCACCTCCCCTGCCCTGGAGACCTGCCCTTCTCGCACAGGCAAATGGCCATGGCGGCAGCTTCCTTCTGCCAATGCAGGGGCTCTGATGATGCTGCCTCCTTCATAATTCATGTGCAGTGAGCTCACTGGGATGACTCAGATTGGGTACATATTCCTCCCCCCAAGTTTGCCCCATCTTAAGGGGCAGTGGTTAGTCATTTGTGTCTCATTGACCTAACCCATTTAGCATTCTGAGTGGTCTTTCCCGTCAGAAAGGAATATGTACATTTTTTAACCCAAAACGTAAACCTTTGTAACAGCATCCGTGGGTCCCAATTCAGTATCGACCATGATTGTTCACATGAAATAAGCGCTTACTCTGTACCAGGCCCATGATAAGTGCTTACTTAGGCTGGCCCACAACAGCTGTGCAGTGGGTACTATTACTGCCATTCACATTTGACCAGAAAGGTTTGATTAGAAAAAGAAGTAGCGTGCATCAGTGGAGAGACCAGGCCTGGGAGCAAGCATGCCTGCTTTGAATCCTGGCCCAACCCCATACAAGCTGTGTGACCTTGAGCAAGTGACTGCATCTCTCTTATACCTTAGTTTTCTTATAAAGTGGGGGATATAATGATAGGGCTCTTGTCGGAATTACAGGAGTATGAAGCATCTGAGGCAGTGCCTAGCTCATGGTAAGTGAATGTGTTAGCTAGTATTTTTATTCCATCACCAAAGATTTACTGAATGCCTTCCACGACCCAGGCCCCAGGAATCAGCACACATTACAAATGAGGGGCTGCTTGGATGCAGGAGCCAGAGAATAAACAGGTAAATGAATAAGCAACACACCAGGAGATGATAGTGGCTGTAAAGTCAGTAAAACAGGGAACTATATGTATCAAAGTAGAGGAGTCAGAAAGTCCTCCCGCAAGAGGTGATATTTGAGCCAGAACCTGAACGGGTAAAGCAGCCAGCTGTGGCAAGGCCCTGCCGGTGAGAACAAGCTGCTGCAATTGAGGAACGGCAAGGAGGCCAGGGGTGATGGCACATAAGGTCAGAAAGAGAGGCAAGGGCCAGGGCTTATAGGCCTTTTAGAGCATGATAAGTCACTCTGGAGAAATGAAATGGTTTGCGTGGTGTCACACATCAGCCAGGACCAATCTGCCTGCTTCTAGAGCCTGAGCTCACTGCTGGGTTGGAGTTCTCTGTCAGAGAGGACAGCATAACCTGGCCTGGCCTGTATGTCCATTTTAACTCAGATGTCAAGTCTAAGGTGAGCCCGTCCGGTGTTGATGTCATGGCTTCCCCTCATAATTCCTGGTTGACCATTTCAGCCACGGAGCTGGTCTGTGACCCAGGCCAGCCTAAGCATCCAAGGCTAATGCAAACCAACAGTCTGTCTTCTGATGTTCTCTCTTTGACTGATCCAGGTGTAACCCAGGACTTCTCAAGTTCAGGCTTTCAGCCCTCCTGTGGCTTCCACTTCCAATTGGCCCCAGGTCCCTGGGGAGAGATCACTTAGCACTTTGCTAACATGTCCTATTACATGTTTAATGTTCCTGTGAAAATGTCCTTGAGATTTCTCTCTTTCTCCCCCCACTGTCTCTCTCTGAATAGAGCCTAGAAGAGAAATTACGGGACTCATCAGGTCCTGAGCTGCTGCTGGATATTTTGCAGAAGGTGAGAATCAGAATAACCAGGTCGCGTCACCAGCCTCCTGGCTTCCCCATGAAGACATGACAGAAGCACAGCGGATGCACTTGTATCCTTTAAAAAAAAAAAGACACTGCATTTGGGTGGCACTGCCTCAGACAGCTCTGGCTCTTTTGTTTTCTTAGATGAAGACCTCAGAATATACAAAAATCTGCATGAGAGGAGGGAATCTGGGGGATGTTTTTGAAACCATCCACAATGAAAACCAAAGTGACAGCTGTGGGAACATCTTCTAGCATTTGGTAGCTGCTCAAAGACTTTCTTCTTTACATTTAAGGAAAAAATAAGAAGGCGAGTCTTACCCACTCGTGTCTCTTCTAGATGTAGATGTGTCCTGCTTTTCTGAGGTGGGGTTTGAATTCTAAGGTACATCTGGGTGAGAGTAGAGGTGAGGCCACCACACTGCCACGTGGATCAGGTGGAGATCACACTGCATCCTGGCTATCAACCCTCTTAAGGATCATGAACCCTTCTGAAAACCCAAACCTATGCACCGCCCCCCCCTAGAAAAAACAACCAGAAGAATACATTTTTTTTACAAATTCGGGGAAGCCGTAGACACCCCTCCAACCACCAAGCCCATCCAAGAAGGCTAGGTTAAGAATTCCTCTGAGGTGAGTGAACCAAGATTGTCTGACCACCACTTGAAGAAAATGCAGCCATAGTTAGGGGAAGCTTGCAGGGCCATCCAGTGGTTCAGGACTGCGAGCTCAGAGATTCTGGGGTCCTTTTCAGGCAGCCGACTCTGATTTTCACCCTGAGGCTAAAACCTGATACCAGCCAACTAGAAACCCCCTGAAGGGTTGTGTGGGTATTTTATCTTGGGTAAAATTGTGTTCCTCGAGCCAGCAGATCCCGTGTGACCCAGCCTGGCCTCTCACTGCCTCTGTTGCCCCACTCCTTCCCAAAATGCCAGGCCATGGCCCCCTGGGAGCCTGCACAAACTATCCCCTCTGCCTATAATTTGCTCCCCCTGCTCTTTGCTTCTCTAGACTTCAGCTGAAGTGTCACCCCTGAGGACCCCCTTCCCCTCCACCACATCCCAGTCAGAGTCCCCATCTTCCTCTGTCCTGACCATCACAGTCCTCATTCTCAGCCTGGCATGTCATCTCCAGGAGAGCAAAAGCTCTCCCACTATGCATGCTCCCACTGTTTAGGCTCTCACCTTTTCATGGAGCCAGACAATCCCACAATTGTCCCCACTACAAACTAGTTCATGCTGCCTGCCCTGGGAAGGGGTAGCATAGCCCATTCCAGCTGCTATAACAAAATACCATAGACTGGGTGACTTATAAACAACAGCAATTTATTTCTCACAGTTCTAGAGGCTGGAAAGGCCAAGATCAAGGTGCCTGCAGGTTTGGCGTCTGGTGGGGGCCCACTTCTTGTTTCATAGACAACTGTGTCCTCACCGTGGAAGGGCCGAGGGAGCTCTCTGAGGTCTTTTTTATAATGACACTAATCTCATTCATAGGGCTTCACCTTCATGACCTAATCACTCCCAAAGGCCCTGCCCTCTGATACTATCACATTGGGGGTGAGGCTTCAACATATGAACTGAGTTTGGGGGGGGTGCACACAAAAATTCAGTCTGTAACAGGGTGTTAGCTTGGGTTCACGTGCACCATGTTCTGCCCAGAATGTTCTGTCAGTCTGTGCCACTGTAGTGGAGAGATTTTTTTAGGAAAGGACATAAACCTTATGACTTAACTTTTTCAGATCCATGAGGGTCACCTGAACCCAGAACCCTTGTGTCTGTACACATCTTTTCTGAGGGATCAGATAATGAGGAATGCCCTGTATTCACTTGAAGCTTGTGTGAGTCTTAAGACAGAGTCTTTCCTGCAACCCACTTTGTGTCCTTTGTCACAGACCGTGAAACATCCTCTGTGTGTGAAGCATCCGCCATCAGTGAAGTATGCCCGGTGCTTTCTCTCGGAGCTCATCAGAAAGGTCAGTAATGGGCACTGTCCGTCTGGTAGCCAGACAGCACCTGGGACTTGGCTGGCTCTCCGGAAGTGGACTGTGCTTGGCTTTGCCTGTTGGAGCTCAGATCTATCCCATATCCTTTGCCCACTCTGCAAACCCCCATATGGCAGTGGACTCCCTGTGTAACTGTTCCCAGCTTGATTCGGTCAGTGAGAGGATATGGAAGGCAAGTGGAAGAGATGCCAGGGTATTTCTCTCTTCTGTGGTCCCAGCTCCACCCACCGCCATTCCCCTAGCCCACCAGCCCACAGGCTTTGACCCGTTCCTACCATTGCCAGTCTCTGGATTACCACACTGCCCTCTACTGGGGGTTTTAGGTCTTGCAGTACCTTTGTAACTAGTTCCCTTTATCATCATCTCCTCGGTAACTACCAGATGTGGGCTCTTTTTCTGACTGATACAGGATGGATTTTAAGGATGAGCCCACACTTGCTGGGTTTCACATTAGACTGGACCTCAGAGAGGTGATTCCTTAGTGGTCAGCATCAGACCTCCTGTGTTTGGCCACCAATTGCAAGGGCTGTGTCTCACCCAGGCTTAGCATGTGAAACAATCCCAGCTTCTCCATTACCTCCCCACCTAGTTCTCCCCAACATGTGCATCTAGTCGTGGCCACAGGTCTCCCCAGAACCACCAGGAGAAGCATGCCCACTCTCTGCTGCCCCCATGAGTTGCACAACAGAGGCTTTCCCACTGACGAAGCCACATCACGCCATGTAGAGTGCCCGTCCTTGTGGCTATTGCCTTAGCTCACTTAAAAGCATCAGTTGTTTGATCCATGTACAACATCATGATAGAAGGGCAGAGCTCTCTGTCACCATCACATCGCAGCTCACACAGTCCCGTTCCTGCTGCCCTAGACTACCTCACCCTCACCCTCTCTGTACCTCTCTGAGATACCCTCTGCTCCCCTACCAAATGAATTTTTTTATAGGCCAGGTTGCCTATATTAAGTCAACCCATCCCAAATCTCCCATCAAAATTTGGTAAAAATCCTCCAGCCATTTTTTACAAGTCAGAGTAAAAGCAAATACATGGAACATCTGTTTGGTTCATGAGGGTCAACTTAAACCTCTTGGCTGAAGCTCTTGCTCTGCCCACCCCCAGCACGAGGCTGTCCACACAGAGCCTTTGGACGAGCTGTACGAGGCATTGGCAGAGGTCCTGATGACCACGGAGCCCACCCAGTGCCACCGGAGCTATCTGCTGGTAGGAGATGGGCACCCTCCCCACAAAGTCCAGACATCTGCCCCTGCACACAGAGTTGAAACTCAGGCTCCAGTCAGTCTCAGATGGGATCAAATCCTGACCCATCAGCTCCTGAGATCTTAGAGGAGGTCAGTTAACCACCCTGAGCCTCCATTTCCCCTTCAGTAAACCAAGCATTTCAACACATAACAGTACCTATTTTATGGGAGTAGCTGAGGGTTAAATCAGACAATATACATTATCACATACCTGGTGCTCAGTCCTCAGTAAACACTTGATGGATGGGTGTTATAGGACAGCAGTCTCTCTCTGCTGTCCACTGCCACCATCCTTACGGGCCTGGCAAATGCCACAGCTCTCAGACTGGCTTCCAGCTTCTTGGCCGACAAAAATACATTCTGCACAGAACAGTCAAGTCTTGGGTTGTTTTTTGTTTTTGTTTGTTTGTTGTTTTTTTTTTTTGACCTTTTATTATAAAGTAAAACAAAGATATGGGAAATCACACAAAATAAATGTACACGGACACCTAGGTGGCTCAGTCAGTTGAGGTCTGACATTGGCTCAGGTCATGATCTCACGGCCCATGGGTTTAAGCCCCATTCAGACTCTCCACTCTTAGCACAGAGCCTGCTTCAGATCCTGTGTCTCCTTCTCTCTGTCCCTCCTCTGCTCAATGCTGCCTCTCTCTCTCCCAAAAAGAAATAAACATTTTTTTAAAAATAAAAAATAGGGATGGGGCGCCTGGGTGGCGCAGTCGGTTAAGCGTCCGACTTCAGCCAGGTCGCGATCTCGCGGTCTGTGGGTTCGAGCCCCGCGTCAGGCTCTGGGCTAATGGCTCGGAGCCTGGAGCCTGTTTCAGATTCTGTGTCTCCCTCTCTCTCTGCCCCTCCCCCGTTCATGCTCTGTCTCTCTCTGTCCCAAAAATAAATAAACATTGAAAAAAAAAATTTTTTTAAATAAAAATAAAAAATAGGGGCATGTAGGTGCTCAGTCAGTGGGCGTCCGACTTCTTCAGTTCAGGTCATGATCTCGCAACTAATGAGTTCGAGCCCTGTGTTGAGCTCTCTGCTGACAGAGCTGCTTCAGATTCTGTCTTCCTCTCTCTGCGCCGCCCCCCCCCAAATATAAATAAACATTTTTTAAATGTTTTAAATAAAATGAATAAATAAATAATAAAAAAATGAATGTACAGCTTACCAAATTGTTGCAAGGTACCTACCAAGGTAACCACCACTCCAGTCAAGGGACAGAGCCCGAAAGCCCTCCATCAGACCTGTCCCCTCCCAGCAAAAGTAGCCACCATGCCTTTGGAGTTGTCACTCTCGTTTTCTCCCGCCACGTGCACCTCCAGACACCAGCATTTAGTCTTCTTGCCCATTAACTAGGTTTGGTTTCAAGTGTCTCTTCATCTGCAGGCCCCCCTGTGGCTGTTTCTTCTCTGGACCTGCCTGTGTCGAACAGGCTTAGAGAGCTTTCCACGGGTTAGCTTTGGTCACATATGCATGGTGCTGTTCAGCTCGTTCTTCCATCCTCTGTTTCCCTCTAATCGCTGGCTGGATTCAGAGGCCAGCTCAGACTCGCATCCACTTAATCCCTTTGGCAGGAACCCAACATGAGGTTCTAGGAGGCACATCATATCTATTATGATAGCGGTTATGGATGCTCAAAGCTTAGATTCTTTGATTCGTTGGAGGGTACAAAAGGGTGGTTTTCTAATTCTATCATTTTGTTTTCTTTCATTCATTAGTTGGAGAAATTTTATGAGCTATCTCCCATCATCTGCTGCTTGGTTACCCACTGATAGGGCCCAATGAGGACAGGGAGGATACTAGCTTGATTCCTTCCTTGTCAACAAGGTGAATTGGTTTCCTACCGTCCCCAGAAGAGATACAATCCATTGAAAATTGTATCTTTATTGAGGCATGAAGTGTTACTGTGGAAAAGCCTGGTAATAATTGTCTTTCCTGTTTATGCCACACGCTCTTTACTCCTGGATGGCCAAAGGACTCTTCCCTTTAAAGTCCAGAATTTTAGTAGAATATATCTTGAAGCTGATTGTTTTGGGTGAGTGATCTCAGATGCCTTGTGTACCCCTTCAGTGTTTGTTTCACATCTTTTTGTTTTTTCAGGAATGTTTTGTTGAATTATAATTTTTTTTAACATTTATATATTTTTGAGAAGAGAGAGACAAAGCATGAGCGGGGGAGGAGAGAGAAAGAGGGAGACACAGAATCCAAAACAGGCTCCAGGCTCTGAGCTGTCAGCACAGAGCCCAACGTGGGGCTCGAACTCACAGACCGCAGGATCATGACCTGAGCCGAAGTTGGACACTTAACCGACTGAGCCACCCAGGCGCCCCTGTTGAATTATAATTTTTAAAGTTTGTTCTTTGCCTTCATTTTCTGTAACAAGTACCTAAAAATGGATGCCTTAAACAACAGAAATTTATCATCTCACAGTTGGAGAGGCCAGAAGTCCAAGATCAGGGCATTGGCCGGGCTGGTTCCTTCTGAGGGCAGAGAGGAAAGGATGTGCTTCCGGTCTGTTTGGTTTGCCAGCGGCTGCGATCTCCTTGTGTCTTCACATCATCTTCCCTCTATGCCTGTATGTGTCCTGATCTCTTCTTACAGAGACACCAGTCCTATTGGGTTAGGGCCCACTTAATGACCTCATCTTAACTTGAGTCTCTCTGTAAATAAGATCTCTTATTTACCCCCTCTTCAAATAAGATCACAGTCTGAGGTCCTAGGGTTTAGGAGTCCCAACACATGAGTTTGGGGGGAGGGTACAGTTCACCCCAAACAATCTCTTTCTTTTTTTTTTTTTTAATGTTTATTTTTGAGAGAGAGAACGAGCAGGGGGGTGGCAGAGAGAGGGGGACAGAAGATCCCGAGAAGGCTCTGCAACGACAGCAGTGAGCCCAATGCAGGGTTCAAACTCACAAACCATGACATTACGGCCTAAGCTGAAGTCAGACACTCAACTGGCTGAGCCACCCAGGCTCCCCTTAATTTCTTCTTGATATTTAAAATTTTACTTCTTTCACCTCCTGTTGTTTGAAGGGGCTTATCTGTTTGTGTGTTTTGTTCCATTCTCCTGTTCCTTGATGTCTGAAATGTTTTCTGTTGTCATCACACATTTCTGAGTGTTTCTAGTTGCCATGAGGCCTTGCCCCCGGTCCCTCACACCCCTGATGACTGAAGCAGCAAGGTCTCTCCTCCATGGGCCATGGTTTGCAGCTGGCACCTGCATTTCCAGCAAACACTTGTTGGCTCCTGGGGTTCTTATGCAGGCCTGTTGCACACCCCACTGCACACACATATGGAGTATATGAGTTTGTGTCTCTTGGTGGTTTGCCCCCACTTATTGACATTTGGGGTTCACAGAGATGCCTTGTCACCTAGTTTTGTTAAATGCTGTCCATATCTTGCTGCTCTGTGTCCTCTTATGTGGGGATTCAGGAAGGTTCAGAACTACACTGCAGCATCTTCCCAGAATCCTCAGAGTGCTCCCCTAGATTTAAGAGGTAAATCAGAGTATGTCACTTGACCACCCAAACCTGGCAGTGCCTTTCCTTAGCACACAGACTCAATTCCTAATTCCATGCGTGGCCTGCATGCCCCGCCCCAGCCTTTCTCTCTCATTTAGTTCTTCCTGCTCTCCCTGTACTCCAGACCCCTGGCATTCTTTGTCTTCCTTGAACTCAGAAACTTAAATGCTGCTGCCTCAGGGCCTTTGCACTCGCTATGCCTGGAATGCTCTCCCCCAGAACCTCACATGCCTCACCTTTCCTTTTTACTCACATCCCAGGTCACGTGATGCCTCCTCAAAAAGGCTGTCCCTGACCAAACTATCTGAAATAGACCCCCAGTCTTCTGTTATTGCGTAATCCTTTTTATTTTCCTCATAGCACTGAAAAACTGTGAAATTACTTCATTTATTATGGTTTTATCCCCTATTGGCACGTAAGTTCTGTAAGAACAGGGAACGAGTTCATCTTGTCACATCTGAATCCTCGGCACCATAGTAGATGCTCAGGAAAAATGTGTGGATGAATGAATGAACAAATGAATGCTCACAACACCCCAGAGACCTGAGTCCCCTATGTGAGTTTTCTGAGCTCAGAGATAGCCAGAAACCACCCCTGGGTGACTGCATGTTGGAAGCACCATTCTCAAAAGCCCCATATTAAAGAACACGTTTCAGAATTGCATGTTGCATGAAGCACTTACCAGCAAACCACCTGCTCTGGGGGCGATGGGAAAGTTCAAAGGCCAGAGAATTCCCAAGCCCTAAATGTCACACTAAATTGAGGAAGGCCCCACACCCTAAAATTTTTCACATCTAGCTCATGATGCCCCAGAGTTGTGACTCTTTTGTTGTTAATATTATAGATTCCTAGAAATGGCTTTTCTAGAGGTGCCCTTTCTCCATTTTCCACCATTGGAAACACATGACCCAACTTGTGCAGCATCACAACCAGGACACTGATGTAGACACCATGCCTATGTAGTGGCCCTCAGACCCCCCCCCCCAACCCTGGCAGACACTGATCTGTTCTCCCTTTCCACGATCCTGTCCTTTTGAGAACGTTAGGTGAATGGAATCACACCATGTGTGGCCTTCTGAGATTGACCTTCTGTTGTACAGCGTCACGCCCTCTGGACCCGTCCAGGTTGGCGCAGACAGTGATTGCTCTGAGGCAGGATGTTCCATAGTCTATGTGGCCATCCACCTGTTGTGATGTTTTTCTTTTTACAATCAGCTCCTTGTCTCCTGGTAGCTGGATTAATTCTCTCTCCCTCTCTTGGCTCAGCCTTCCGGAGACTCAGTCACGCTCTCGGAGAGCACAGCCATCATTTCCCATGGCACCACCGGCCTGGTCACATGGGATGCTGCACTCTACCTTGCAGAATGGGCCATGCAGAACCCAGCAGCCTTTGCTCACAGGTGCCCTTGGGGTGCGGGGCAGGGCAGCAGGGCAGGTTTTCCCCAGCACGGTCTCAGACACAGGTCCCCTTCTCCCCCCAACCCAGGACTGTCTTAGAGCTCGGCAGCGGAGCTGGCCTTACGGGCCTGGCCATTTGCAAGACATGCCATCCCAGTGCATACATCTTCAGTGACTGTCACAGCTGCGTCCTTGAGCAGCTCCGAGGGAACATCCTTCTCAATGGCCTCTCATTAGAGGCAGACGTCACTGACCCTGCAAGGCACCCAGAACACAACACCTGCAACTCAGAGAGCCCCAGGGTGACGGTGGCCCAGCTGGACTGGGACGTCGTGACAGCCCCTCAGCTCGCTGCCTTCCAGCCAGATGTCGTCATCGCAGCAGGTACTGCCCCCCATCCCCGGGCCACTGGAGCAGCTCCACCCAACTCTCAGCTCTGGGAAGGAGACAGTGGGTGCTGCCAGGGCAGAGGAGTGATGAGATTTTTAGAAGGGCCATTGTGGGCCTCCAGGGTGACATCAAAGCATAGCTCATGCCCCTTGGGGGCCATAAAGCCACAGCCCTCCCATTTGACACAGTGGACACATGTACTCCTGTGCAAATGGTCCCATCAGATAAATGAGCCCAGCTTTTCTCAGCAAAGCCTGACATGGAAAGAACAGGCCCCAGGGCACCAAACCAGTCTGACCTATTAGCCCGGCTGCAGCCGAGGAGAGAGATTATTATGTCCATCTCTAGAACCAAAACGAAATGGCCAGAGCAGCTGAACACCAGCCCCACTTGTACCATAACCCCATCTTCAGATGTAGGGAAGACATAGCCATGGCAGCCCTGACTTTTCAGGGCTGTGAAGGACAGCGTGATTGTCCCAGGACCATGTCATGGGCATCCAGCCCCGGGCCAGGCCTAGGGTTAGGCCACAGTGGTGTCTGAGTCAGGCAGAGAGCTCTGAGTGCCCCCCACCCCTGGGAGCTTCTGTCTGCTCTGCGCATAGCTGTTGTCACATGTCTGCATGTCTGTATCCCAGGTCCATGCCCATGTCTTTGGACAGGGTCCTTGAGAGGAGTGTTTGGCCAACGGGTCCCTTGTCCTCCACCAAGCTCACCCAGTCCCCTATCCAGCTGACAGTGCTGTGCCTCTGGTCCTGGGCTGCGACTCGGAGACCCACAGTGGTCAGAACACAAAGCCTGAGCAGCACCCTCCCATGTAAGCATGCCAACAGGGAGCGAGCTTGTCCCCCCCCCCCCATACAGCTAACAAAGCAGCAAGGTTTGAGATAAAGTCAAGGTGTGCTTCATTAAGCATCTTCTAAATAGACCACAGGCAAAGAATTGATTTTTTTTAAGGTTTATTTTTGAGAGAGAGAGAGAGAGAGAGAGAGCAAGAGCACAAGTGGGGGAGGGGCAAAGAGAGGGGAGACACAGAATCAGGAGTAGGCTCCAGCCTCTGAGCTGTCAGCACAGAGCCCAACACAGGGCTCAAACTCCCAAACCACACGATCATGACCTGAGCCGAAGTTGGACGCTCAACCAACTGAGCCACCCATGCGCCCCTGATTTTTTTAAAAAGAACATCAGTAGGTCCTAGGTATGTTCCATTTGTTGCATGGTCTTTCAGCAACTTTCTTTCTCTCCTAAGAGTTTTCCTTTTTACCCACATCATCTTCTTTGTATCCAATAGGGCGAGTCTAAAAAAAACTGCTGGTTTCCAGGCTCCCACCCTGCTGCTGAGGTCAGCACAACCAGGCAAGCTTTCTGGGCACTGAATCCTAGACCAAGCCCCTTTCAGTAACCTGAGGTTTTTCATTGCAGATGTGCTATATTGCCCAGAAACTGTCCTCTCCCTGGTCCGAGTCCTGCAGAGACTCTCTGCTTGCCTGAAGAACCAGCAGGCTCCTGACGCCTATATTGCCTTCACCGTCCGCAACCCAGAGACATGCCAGCTGTTCACTAGCGAGCTGGGTGAGCCCTGGGCCCTGGGAGGGGCTGCTATCTCTGAGAGGCCACCTGGGCCCCACACGGGACTCCGGTGAGGCAGAAATAAGCAAAGTAAAAGAATGAAGCCCTGGAAACAAACCAGAAAGCCCCAGAACACACAATGTGCTGGGCCATCCACCCACCACCCCCACCCCCCTGGGTGGTCTGCAGAGGAGGCAGGGCCGGGGAGCTGTGCTCTGGAAGGAGGCAACTTATGCAGCAGTCCCAGAGGTCAGAGACTAGCAGCCCTAGAGCAGGTTTCAGGGACGTGCAGGCCTCTTTCCTGGTAAAATGGAGAGGATGGCGGATGCCAGTGGGTGTCAGGGTAGGGGAGTTCTGTGCACACAGCGGTGAGGTCAGGCTCTGGAACAGATCCCACCACCTGCTATGGTGAAGCCGGGCCACTACTCACATCCCTGTCCTCATCGGTATGGTGGGAACATCCCCCTGGGAGGTGACACAGGGACTGGCATGCAGGGAGCACTCGGGAACGTGGTAGCTGCTGCTGTCACTACAGCAAGCATCCAGTAAATGGAAGAAGAGGAGGGAGGCCTCTGCCATTTACACCCTGAACGAGCACTGCTGCGCCCAGGCACTGTCCTCAGACCTGACCTGTCAGGAGGGAGGGGTGTGCTGCCATCCTCTGCTCTCACCCATGGAAACTTTGGGGTGCAGGGGAGCTGTTTCCCCAAGCTCCAGGGTGGAGTCGGGCAGCCGAGTCTCGCTCTCCATTCTCCATCCCACAACCACCGACCACTGCCCTGCAATCCCCGACACGCGCCAGGCCCAGCCAGGACTTTCCACACATGACCAGGCAGCAGTGCAGGACTGGGTTTGCCCTGATCCACGCCCCCAGGCGCAGCCCCACCGACAGCAGCCTCTGCTGTCACAGCAGACACAGAGACGACCCAAACGCCCACCACGTGTGCTCATGCCCCAGACAGTGCATGTAACCTTGAAAAAGAATGAAGTCCTTCTTCAGACACTATGTGAAAATTATCTACGCTGTAGTTTAAGGGAAGAAAGCAAAGTACCAAACACCATATATGTATAAGCCCATTTGTATTTTTAAAAATAATGTTTGTGTTAATGTGCATCTAGGGGGATAATCTGAAAAACACGCACCAAGTAACAGTAGTTACACTTGGTGGCAGGATTATAGATAAACACACACACACACATACACACACACACACACACACACACACTCTTTTTGTAAATAACCACTAGGTCCAACATGGGGCTTGAACTCACGACCCCAAGATCAAGAGTCGCATGCTCCACCGACTGAGCCAGCCAGGTACCCTGACACTTCTGTACTTTTACGTCTAAGATTTCATTTTTATAAATAATTATTTTCATTTGTAAAAACCTGATGACAAAATGATCTTTGCCAAGGGCTTCTGAGACATCTGTGCTTATGAAGAGATGAACCCCTTCTGATGCACATCTAGCCTGTGTGAAGAGGCACCAGGCTGAGTGGGCAAGAAACCCAGACAGGTCTGTGACCTTCCAGGGATGCACATGGCCCAGAAGGCAGGGGCAACAAGCCTGGCTGCTGTGAGCCATTTAAAAACTCAGTTCTTGGTCCATCCCTGAAATGACTCTAGGTATCTGGTTGGGGCCTGGAAGTCTGTGGTTTGTATATAACCCCTAGGCCTGTCCTGCAGCCGTAACCTGTATCGGGTGGTGTCGTGTCCCCAGACCCCACCTTCCTGAGACACATATTCTGTTTCCAGGCATTGCTGGGATCCCATGGGAAGCAGTGCCACATCACGACCAGAAGCTGTTTCCCTATGAAGAGCACTCAGAGATGGCAATTCTGAAACTAACTCTGTAGGTTTACAAATGGTTTTAAAGATTACCATTAAAATTAAATCACCATCCTGGAAAGAATTTTTATGTGGGAAAGCTGGTAAAATTTCCACTGGACTTGAATGCTTGAAGAATGTTAAATTCAGGGAGCGCCTGGGTGGCTCAGTCAGTTGAGCGTCCGACTTCGGCTCAGGTCATGATCTCAGTTTGTGAGTTCGAGCCCCACATGAGGCTCTGTGCTAACAGCTCAGAGCCTGGAACCTACTTGGAATTCTGTGTCTCCCTCTCTCTGCTCCTTCCCCGCTCCCGTTCTATGTGTCTCTCTCTCTCAAAAATAATTAAACGTGAAAGAAAAAAATTTTTTTAAGAATGTTAAATTCAGAATCAGGAACCACAAACTGTGTTCTAATAAAATACATTCAAGTGGGTGCCCCTTTCTATCACTAGTTCTGGCTCTTAAGTAAACAAACCTCCATAAATCAAAAATGAATTTTTGGCTCAGAAACAAGCATTTCATTTGGGCAAATAAAAACAGATCAAGTATGTTTCCCCCCACCAGTGCCTGGACCCAGTCCATCACGAAGCCAACCCTGTTGTACATGTGGCACGTCTTATTAAACTCTTACAAGGCAGCAGACTGCAGTGCCTGTCCTCAAGGCAGGAAAGACAATACTAGGGACACAACAGGGCAGATGCTGGGAAAGGCAGACACCGTAACAGGCCTAAGAGATGTTGACGATGCCACGTGCAAACAACAGGAAAGTAATAATACTGGGGGGAAAGAAAGACTCAGATCAGGAGGAGAGGAGTGATTGAGAGCCTCGAGGGAGGAAACCAGGGTGAACCAGTTTCTTGGGCCACAAACTGGGTCATAAAAACATTTCATTCCACAGCCGTCATTCCAGCTGCTGTCCACTGGGAGGCACTGCTCTAAAGCATTTGTCAAGGCCAGATAGGCTAGAAGAGGCTAAAAGGAATTGGGCGTCGCTCAGGAGCTCTCAGTATTTGGCCCAAAGGGTCATGTGTCCATAACCAAAGGCAGCACCGTCTGCTTCCAGCTCTCATCCCAACGAAGCTGCTCTGATTCCCGGAGGTTCTGCCGGAACTGGCTTAGTTTGCCAGTAGGATCAGGAAACGCTGAGAAAAGCATCTAGAAGAAAAATAAAGACCAGAACTTACCCCATCACTGCTTCCCACCCCTATCCCAGGTCCCACCAGAGAGCTGTCCCTCCTCCTTCCCAGCAGCCTGGATTCTGGTCCCACTCCAATCACAGGCAGCCAGGCCAGTGATGCTACTGAAACCCTCTGTCACTGCACTTCAAGAACCACTCTCAGTGTCCTGGAGCCCCCAGCAGGCCTCCTGCTCTGACCCAGCCTCCATGGCAGGCTTGGCTAAGTAAATGTTCTCAAAACACAGCTCTGACCCGGAATATCCCCGACCCAGCAAGCCCCTTCCTCATGGGGCACAAGAAAACCCTCACACCCTGGCCCGTGCTCCTTCCCCTTCTCTGCTCCTACTTAACAGTGCAGCCAGGCTGCAGCATTTTCCACCCACTGTGCCCTGCTCAGCCACAGGCCACTCCAGCAATGTTCTGTCCACCAAGAGCACCCACCCTCAGCCTCTGCCCAGCACCGTCCAGCCCACATGCTGGAACTAGGCAGTCTTCCAGCTTTGCTAAACTTTATCAGGAGTCTCCAAACTAAGCCAGTGGACCAAATTTGGCCCCCAGCTGTCTTTGTAAGCACAGTTTTACTGGAACACAGCCACACCCCTTCATTCACAGGCTGTCCGTGGCTGGTTTCATGTTACAGCAGAGACTATGGCAAAGCCTAAAACTTTTTCTATCTGGGCCTTCCCAGAAAGTTTGCTGCCCCTGGTCTCAACTGCCAAGAATGATGATGTATTACTTTTGTAGTAAGTGCCCTTTGAAGACTCCCACCCACCCTCAGGGAAAGTTTGGGAAGCCCCCTTCACGCATCCCTCCTACTCAGAACCAGTCGCTCCCTAGGCAGAGCACACGGTCTACCAGCTCTGGCATCATCTGTGTGGTGTAAGCTCCACAAACCCAGAGGGCAGTCAGAGCATGTCCAGACCCCCGAGCCCACTGAGGCCCAGCCTCTGAGACCACTGCTCCCGGCCTTAGCTCTCGGATCCAGCCTGGCCGGCCACAGGAGCAAAGAATCGGGGGGCGTGGGTCGGTGCCCTGGCATGGGGGCAGACGTGATTACCTGCAGCTGAGCCGCCAGCTCCTCAGAGCCCTCAAAGACCAGGCCATTTTCGTCATGTTTCACAAGCTCGTGTAAGCTGCAGAGGGAATCACAGAACCAAGAGGTGCCTAGAGAAACCCAAACCCTGCGGTGCCCACCCGGCCTCCCACACCACCCCTCCCACAGGCCAGGCAGGGGTCAGAACAGTCTGCTTTCAGTGAGTCTCAGATTTAGCATCTGAATAGAAAAAAGGCCTGCAGGGATACACATTAAAAATCCAAAATGATTCCAAAGAAGAGGTACAGTGAACACACATTTGACCTTTTCTGCTCTATGCTCTTTTCAGTGACTATGTGCTCAGCGAGTTCTCCATGTTTTTCTTAATTGCACAGCAGAGAAACAAGGTGAAAGGCAACCCCACTGGAGGTACACTTGGCATATTAAGGATGACTTTGCTGGGTCACCAGAGAGTTGATGCCAATGTGCCCAGAGCTCAGGGTCTAACAGAGGCTATTTCCCATTCAGAGGCTGGCTCCTGAGCTGGTGGTGGAGCTACTATTTCTCTTGTACTGAACCTCTTGTAACACCGCCCTCTCCAAACACCATCTTCACCAGGAAAAGTGGTGACAGAGAATTACACTCATTTAACGGATTCCAATTCAACTGTATGAGCTCAGAAAGAGAGAAATAAAACCAGGTCAACTGTGCGGTCAATACCAGCCACCCGTCTATCCACGAGCAAAGGCCCCCTAAGTAGAGAAGACACATGTTTTCTGTCGGACATCAGCTCTCCGTGGAAGCCCACCCCTTCAGAGGGTGCAGCCTGCCCACAGAAACCCCAAGGGCCCTCCCCCCAGAGGACCACCTGGCAATGCTGCACAATCTTCCAGGGCAATTCCTGGAGCAATTTTGACCTCACTGGCAACACCCCCCCTCCACCCCCACAGCTGATTTGAGAACCGAACCCCGGGAAGATTGAGTTACTGCTCCTACCACTGGAAGTTCACGGCACACACGGGCAGACAGCACCCGAACATGTCCACCACCTTCATGGGCAGGTCCAGGCCGCTGGAGGATTTGTGCAAGCACACACCCAGGTCTGCCGACCCTGCGAGGTGGGGGCAAAGGGAGTGGTCAGAGCACCACCCATGCACCCGTGGAACACAAACCCTGAAAGGACTGTGGATCGACACCCCAAGTGGGGAATGGAACGTGGGTAATAATGCCACAGGCTGGAGAAGGCCAAGTACATAGCAGACCTCCCCAACTGCCACTCCCAGCCACTCGGCCCTGTTTGAAAACTACCTGCCTGTCACGAGTAGTTTTCTTTAGTCAGACCCCCTTTGTCTACTTAACCACAATTTCTTTAAAAAGAACCTGTAGCAATTATTGCTTAAGGGTTCAGAGTTTCCGCTTGGGATGATGAAAACGGTTTGGAAATAGGGCGATGACTGTACAACACTGAACATAATTAATGTCACCAAGTTGTACATATACTTTAAAATGGGAAAATCGTTAAAATAGCAAATTTTTATTGTACGTTTTATCACAGTAAGGAGGGGGGGAAAAACGTAACAGAAAACCAGCTGTCTCTATGAAAATAAAGCCAAATAAACAATCTGACACCACTAAACACTGGCTAGAAAACCCCTGCCAACCAAAGGCTTTCCGCTGGAGACTGCTCACTGGCTGCGGGAAGATGAGGCCTTGGAGATACATCAGCACTAGGCCAGCACGCCCCTCCCAGAGAAAGGAAGACAGAGGAAGCCAGGGAGACATAGGGGAGTCAATGCTATTTAGCACATTATTTCTACACCTCCCAAGCCACTGCCCTCCCAGACCTGGGGAACGTGGACCCCAACCCAAGCCCAGGACCAGCCTTCTGCCCAGATGGAAAAGCAGGACTAAATGGAGGGCTTGGAGAATAAGAGGACCCTCTCAGATCCGTGGAGAAGACGTCCAGGCCCCAAAGGCAGGAGGAGCCGGCACACCAGGAAACAGCCTGGATCTCCCCCAAGTACAGCCAAGAGCTCCTCCAACAAGTTCCTGGCACATGGCATCCCCCTGCCCCACGTGGCCCTTGAGCAGGACCCAATCCAGCCTCAGGCCTGTGTGTGTATGGCCCTTGGTCTAAAAATGACTTTTACTTTGTATAGGGTTATAAAAACAAAGAATATACAACAGAGGCAAATAAAACACTATCTGGCCCTTTTCAGGAAAACTCTGTCCCCCGTACCGTAAGATACTCCTGTTTAACCCTCAGCTCTCTCCCTGCAGTCCCCCTACTGAATGCCCTTACCTAGAAGCAGGGGGTAGTCCTCAGCCTCCAGCCACGGAGTACAGACTTGGATGTGCTGGAAATGCTTCTGGCCGATGAGGCCTCTGTAATACTCCTTCAGAGGCCCTTTGCCTTGCAGAGAAAATCTGAGTCACTGCACTGGGCCCATCTCTGGCTCCATCCCATGGCCTTGGGACTCAGAACCCCTGCACAGGTGTCAGGAGAAGGCCCACATTCTACAGCTGTGATCAGGTCCCCATGTGGCCCCTTCCAGACCCCTCAGGGGTATGCACCCTGACCAGTGAGGCCACAGCCCTTCCCCCAGCAACCTGCATCAGTGGGTCTCAGGCTGGAAAGGTGGCCAAGATAAACTCTGGCAAGGCACCAGAGTGCCAGCTGGATACAACTTCTCACCCAGACAGGCCTGTGTCTTGCTTGATGCCCCAGGTGGCATGGTGTGTGCAGTGGGCTCCTAGCCACCCCTGGGAGCTCTGGGGCCAGGAAGAGGGGAGTATGCAAGTTGGGGCAGCAGGCCCAGGACCCTGCTTCAACCACAGCTCTCTGCTTCTCTCTCCCATCCTGGGCTACTCTGGAA